ATCAAAATGAATTAAAACAGTGAAATGCAAACTCAGAATATGACGCAAACCTGCAATAATTAAATGTTAAATAACACAAATGTATCTAATCCCATTTTATTAACCAATGTCTTTGCTGCTGACCTTTGATGATCCAATTCAACCATAAGCAAAAATTACTCGAGATAAACTAAAATTTGTTCTTTTTTTATTGCTATTTCTTCTGCGTTCTACTGTACAGACGTGAATTTACTTTTCCTTCAGCCTGAGGTTTATTCATTACACTTTTTGGTCTTTTACATTTGCAAAAAATAGAACTTTTCATATTAAAAACAAACAAGCAAGCCCTGTCCAGATTAAAAAAATAATGCAAAAGTAACGAAACACTTTACTTTCCATAAAAAGTAACTAAGTAATGTAATTAGTTGCTTTTTTAGAGAGTAACGCAATATTGTAATGCATTACTTTTAAAAGTAACTTTTCCTAAAACTCTTCACATTCATGAACCGGAGCGTTTAACTTTCGAGCAGAGAATGATCTGTGATTGAAACTGCATCACAAGCACTCAGTATCTGGGCAGGATTTCACAGCGGTTTCTGTTGAGTAACCATTACAGATCAGAAAGAGCTGTACGGGAGCAAACAGGGAATGACAAACTACTGGATGGGATACTATTCTACATTTTTGAAGCTTTTAACCACATGTAGAGGAGCAAACACAAAGAAAAAGAGAGAAAAAAAACAGAATATGGTTCTGAAAAGCTGGAAATCTTTAGCTATGGATAAGAATAAAATAATTGTCCAGGCTCACAGGTTGGAGAAGTTTCTCAAATTATAATGTATTTAAACTGGAATTATTGAAGCTGCATATCATTTCATCATGTTTCTTGCCACAGAGCAATCAGCTGTAAGCACCTAAATACATATTTATATAGTTTATATAGTAAGCATCCAAGATGCTTCAAGAAAGCTCCTGCAAAGCTCCTGAGAAACTCACAGGGGCAAAAGTTGCTTTAAACACAATGGATGCTCACACCAAATGTTGATTTAATTTAGTTAATAGAAGTTAATTGCTAAAGAAAATCTATTTATGGCATTATTTTTGACAGCATCCTCATTTTACAGCATTTTTATATTCCTATTCATATTATATTTTATATTTCCTACTGACACACTACAGCAAAAGATAGAAATAACTGACTTAAAACCATTTTTTAGCTGCTGAAAGTACTAGTGTTCTAATCATTTTGGCCACCACTGTACATTATAATGCATTATATTGTTTCATTAATAATAACCAAATGCATTTAAATGCATTCCTTGTTACATCTGAAATTGGTTGTGTTTTAATGATAAAATAAGTGTTATAATGTAATACAAATGTGGTTACAATTATTCATGAGATCTTACAATGCATTATAAGCTGCATTACAAGGCATAATTAATGCATTCAAAATAATTTTATAATGCATTATACCGTATATAAAGGTCAGAAACATCATAACCTGGCTTTCACTGAATGGTTACAAGTTGCTCTGATGCTGCATTTCATAATAAAAGTTAAACCAGTTGACAAGCTGGTATCTGATGCATGTTTGCATTGATCAGGAATTAGAAAAGGCTGATTTAGTAGTAAGTGCAGGAAAGAGCTGATGATGAACGTACCGTAGACGATGGAGGAGGCTTCAGGAGTCTGCTCTTCAGCCGCTCTCTTGTCCTCAGCCTCCTGCAGTTTATCCACCTGTAAGAGACGCAGAGGTCATCACTGTCAAAGTGTCACGCTGCATCCTTTCATCCAAACGCCGCTTCACACACTCCTCAAGTCCTCCTCTGACGGCTCTCTACAGCAGCATCATGCAAATGCACAGTAATGTCACACATCACATGCCAACATACACTCACATTCACTGAACTATTCCTTACAACATCAATGACTGTCTCGAAGCGTTATAGAAATATGACTTGCCACTTAGAAAACCACAATGCAAGATCTCACATTTTATTTATATATTTATTGTTAGAATATGTGAAATGCTCAAATAAAAGCTGCTCGACAACTGTAAGCACCTACAGTGAGACTACTGAACTATTATTTGGCTTGACCAGTGTTTCTTTGTGCAGGTTTAGTTAACTAAAACTAAATGTAAATCTAAACCTAAAACTATACTGTATGTGACCCTGGGGTATATTTTTGGCAGTAGGCAAAAATACATTGTATGGGTCAAAATTATTGATTTTTCTTTTATGCCAAAAATCATTAGGATATTAAGTAAAGATCATGTTGCATGAAGATATTTTGTAAATTTCCTACCGTAAATATATTAAAACTTAATTTTTGATTAAAAAGATGATTTTTTTCAATATTTTTATTTGTTTGCACCCTCAGATTCCAGATTTTCAAATAATTGTATCTCGGCCAAACATTGTCCTATCCTAACA